ATCGATCGACACTCGTCGAAGTCAATCGATCGACGAACTAGAGGTGATATCGATCGATGGCGAGCTGGTGATATCGATCGATAGTAGTCGTAGGCGAATGCTCGTTCACTCTCATCATCAGATCTCTGAATCTTTTCTACTACCTCTTGCCAAAAGTCATCATCTAGGAGGGCATTGATATTGTGGGTAAACTCCTGCTTCGTAACTGCTTCTCCTGTCTGGAACACCTGGGTCTCTAGCTTCTTCACATGGGTGTTGAGTGCATCTATCTTCGTCATGAATGTGGTGTAGACAGAATCTATCTTTCCATTGAAGTTTACCTCTAGTTTCTGCTGACTCTCAAGTATCTTGTCCATCAATTCCTTCAGTTTAGTATTTTGGGTGGGTGGGTGTGGATTTGAGTAGAAGGCACTTCCATAGCTTCTGTTGTTGTTAGGATTGCTGCTGTTGAAAGTGTTGGGCTTCTGGGGATTCTGGTTGTAGTTGCTTCTCTGGCCTGTGAAGTTTCTGAATCCTCCTTGGTTACCAGATCTCTGAAAACCGGTTCCACTAATCCAGTTGACGTCTTCTTCTACCATTTCTGAATCTTCCACTGCACAGATCTGCTTGTTTAGGAGCTTCTGAATGTTGTCTAGCTGTGCTTGAACTTCATTGACGTACTCCTTCCCATGGGATGTAGTCTTCATATAGTTTCTTGTGCTGTTACTGGAAGCTAAGTTGTCAATTAGCTTGATAGCATTCTGAGGATTCCTGGTGGTGAAGTTGCCATCGCTAGCTGTATCAAGGGCTCTCTTGAAATCGGGGCTGATGCCTCTATAGAAGGTGCAGAGTAGTTGCACTTGGTTGAATCCGTGGTGTGGGCAGTCTCACTAGTAGGACTTGAATCTGTTCCAAGTATCCTTGAATGACTCTTCAGGGGTTTGGGTGAATGTAGCAATCTTCTTCCTCCAGTCTTCAGCGCGTGAATCATCAAAGAAATTACGCAAGAAGGCGTGCTTGATATCATTCCAGGTGGTAAGGGAACCTGGTGGTAGTTGTCATAGCCACTGCAAAGCTTCTCCAGATAGAGAGTACTTGAAAAGCATGCAGAAAAGATAGTCTTGAGGGACTCCTTTTGCTTTGACTAGGGTGACAAGATCTTCGAACCTCTCCATATGGTCCATAGGATGCTCATGGGGCAAACCACAAAAAGGGATTTGACCCACAAGTGTGTAGTACTGCGGCTTGAGCTCAAAATCTCCTCTCTGGATGGCAGGAGGTAGGATGGCTGATCACTTTGAATAGAACTGATCGGGGCGGTTGTAGTCAGCCAAAGTTCTGGTCTCCTCTACAGGTTGAATGATGCCTGTAGGCGCAGTCTCTTCAATAATGATCTCCTTCTGATCATTCAGCTTCTGACCTGCTGCATCCGCAGGTGACCATCTTGATCACACAGGTCTCCATTCTCATCGGGTATGAGAATCATAGGCGCTACCATGTCTCGCCGGTTAGTATTGATCGATGTCAGATGTGGTGTATCGATCGATGTCAAGTGAGGGGTATCGGTCGACGAACGGTTGTTGATGTCGATCGATGAGGTGGTGATGGTGTCGGTTGACGAACGATTGTTGATCGTCAGTGGAAAGGGCGTATCGGTCGATACGATGGTATTCGTATCGATCGATGTGGAGCATATGTCCTTGCGGATGCTACGCTCTAGATTGTTGGGATCTTCTGAGTACAAAAGCTGCTTGTTCTTGTTGCTTCTGGTACTGCTGGGCATGTACCTGAAAGAGACAAAAAGAAAAAGAAAAAGATTTTGTGTCAAAAGATAGATAAATAAAATAACAAAAAACCTAGAAGGAATCAGATTAAATCTAATAGTGATCTTAGTTCCCCGGCAACGGCGCCAAATTTGATATCACTCAAATTACCCTAAGGAGTGAATTACTCTCATCAAAAGAGGTTCAATCGTAGTACTTAGGGATCGAATCCACAAGGAACTAGAGACACAAAAGATGTAATCCTATGTGATTAAGCTAGGTTGCAAAATGTTTAAAACAGTAAATAAAATAGTAGCAATGGTAAGTTGCTAAAGAGAATAGGTTTTGGTTTAAAAACAATGAAGGAAAATAGTTAGATTCAAGGTTACTATTCAGAAAATCAGGATTATAGATCTATGGATGTCTTAACGAATTGCTTGCAAATATATGAGAACTTCAACCCTTAGACAAATCTATAGCTGTCGCTAGTTAGACTCGTCCATTGATCTGATTGCCGACTGCATCGATCGATGTTGCTATCGCAGGTTCGATCGATATAAGCTGTCGTCGATCGATACCCCATAAGAGTATCGATCGATATTAATTATCAGATCGGATCGAACTATTGTTCACCCGAGAATTTCTATAAGACCGGCTATCGCACGTGCCTTAATAGAGTCTGAGTTTAGCCAAATGATTTCATGAAGATGACTATTAGATTAGTCACTCCAAAATCAATACTCTAGGTAGCAAGTCTAGAGTAAGCATTAGGGTTCATTTGGATATGAATATAACAACTCAACAATCCATAGTTGGGGCTAATCCCTCATAACTATTTGAACCCTAAATCTAACATATGAATCTACTCAGACATAGCCAAGAGATTCATAGCAAAAGAATAAGAAAAGAAAATACTTTTATTGCTAAATAGAATAGAATACAAAACTAGGTTCAAAAACCCTTTTCAAAACTTGGTTCTTAAAGCTCATAGGCATAGGTATAAATAGGGAGTACAATTAGGTTAAAAAACTCGTCAGAGGCAGTCTTGTAATTTGGTGAGAACTTGGGCTTCAAGTTGGCCAAATACATCTTGCTCATCACGCTCTGTATCGATCGATGGTACATTGCGTACATCGATCGATGGAGGATCTCGACTTCAACTTCTACGGAAGCATTGATCGATTACATAGGGTGTGTATCGATCGATATGTGTCTCTTATATCGGATCTTCATAGTCATCTTGGAAAACTCTTCTTTAAGCACCAAAAGACACCTAAATCATCACTTTACCACAAAAAGCTCCTGAACCTGAAAACATACCTAATAGACTCCAAAACAGAGATATTTATAATAAAAACATATAGAAAATATGACCAAAAGCGGGTCAAAATCATGGTCTATCACTTTTGTTATCGAGCTGCGAATCGATTAGGTTTAAGGTTTTTATGTTGATAACTCGCTGACGGCCATGCGGCCAAAGCCTTTGTAAACCCTTGTAATGATCGTAACGCTCTTACGCGAACTCGAAATAAGATCTACTTTTTCTTTAAATTCGTTTTATCACGTTTTCATATTTTTCCGCATTTATTTGGTTACTTGTCGTTGGCTTTCGCAGAGATCCGGTTTCTCTGGAAAATTAGGGTTTTCCTAAGTTTCCTTATTTAATGGAAATCGACAAGTGTGAATTTCGGTTCCCACACCCATGCTTTCTGGTAATCCCAAGTACGACCCCATCCCTCCGATATTTTGTATTCCCAATACATCCTTGAGGTCCTGAAGAGTTGATTCTTAAATCTTATGTCCAAATTTAATATAAGATTTATGGAAGTTGATTAGCTGGCCAGATGCTACCACATATTCCTTCAAAATCCTTGAAATGGTTTGACATTTTTCTTTTTATGCCTTGCAGAAAAAAATACCGTCATCGGCAAATAGAAGGTGGGAAATTGACGGACACGCCCTTGCCACTTTCATCCCAGTCATCTTTTCCTCTCTTTCAGATTTTAAATATTCACAAGTCACAACTATAGCTTCCGTAAACATGATGAATAAATAAGGAGAGAGCGGGTCACCCTGACGTAGGCCCCGTTGTGGGATAATAAGACGTCGTGGATATCCATTTAATAAAACTTTGTATTGGACTGATGAGATACATTCCATCATCAACTGTGTCCATTTAGGATCAAAACCCATCTTAAGGAGCAGACCTTTATTGAAATCCCACTCCATCCTATCATAAGATTTACTCATATCGGTTTTGTTTGCAATGAATTTATTCTAACAAGATTTATTGGCTCTAAGACCATGAAAATCTCCTCAGCGATAAGGATATTGTCCGATTTGAGTCGTCCAGCCACAAAAGCCGATTGCGTATCTAAAATGAGCGTTGGGAGACAACTATTCAACGTTGACATAGTACCTTGGAAATAATTTCTTACCCTATATTTCACATGCTAATCGGCCGCAACTATGTCATCCTTGTAGGTCTCACTGTCTTTGGTATTAAAAAAATAGTTGTCAAATTTAATCTGGCATCCAGCTTCCCTGTCGTCAGAAAATTATTTACCAGCTCAAGGAGATCCTTCTTAACGAGAGAACATGAATGTTGAAAAAATAAGGCTGTCATCCCATCAGATCTAAGTACTTTCTCCAGATGTATCATAACTTTGAGAGCATTTGTTACTGCTTGTGCAGGTTTTTAGTTGGGTTCAGAACATCAGATATTTTGTTTCTAGATATCTGGCAACGAAGATGGATGATTGGAGTAAGATGTATACATTAACTATTGTTTTTATTACTCTGGTTTTGTAACAGATTAGTACTGGCTTTACAATTAACTTTAAGTTATGTTCTCTAAAACTGTTTAGTATATTCAAGTTCTCATATGGAACTATACATATGTTAAGATTTCTTATTTTTTTCTGGCCTCAGGGGCTGAGATTTTTTTTTTCTGGCTTGCAAAAGTTGTATACTTTTCTTTTATTTTACTAATTTTTTTTTCATAATTTGATTGAGGTTACATCTAAACATCTTTTATTAATTTATTTGCAGGCACCTGTAGTAAAGCCTGCTACTGAGAAGGCTCCAAAGAAAGCAGCAGCAGCAAAGGGTGTGGAGAAGAAAGCTAAAACTGTTGAAGCTTCAAAAGAATCATCAAAGGAAGAACCTTTAGATCATGTTGCTGAGAAGCTTCACATGCAGAGGTAAAATATTGAAACATTTCACTCCTATATTTGCTTCTTCTTTTGATTCCTAGAGATGAAAGCTTGGCTCGAGGCTGGCAATGCTGAGGCGCCCTTTATAGAGGGAGTGAAGCAATACTTTGCACTGGATCAGCCTAAAAATGGACTCAAACATCTAAGGTTCTCAACCAAGAACAACCAGGGGCAGACCCACCTTGTGACTAGTGGGGTCACTTTACACCACAAAAATTTGTTAATATGTTGTTTTTGTATAGGTAATTGCCAAAACTTCAGTAGCATAGTTGGTAAATCATGGCTTCTAACCCCATAGAAACATGTGTTCGACTACCACCAGAGATTTTTAAATGTTTTTGACTCCAGTCAAATTTATTGTTGGGTCTGTCCCTGAGAACAACCATGATTTAGGTACATATATTTATGATATTCTTCTAATGATCATAGGATAACATGAAAAAGTCATGGCATGTATGGCCCTCTTCAATTGGCGTACAAACATGTTATCAGTCTACCGATGTTGGAGAAAACTGGAACGTAGCTTGCGAAATGTCCTGATCATGAAGAGGCAATCTTATGGAACAAACATGATCTTTATAATGCCCCAACAATCTGGATGCTCAAAGAAAAAGAAGATAGGTGTAATGTTTGTTATTACTGCAAGCAGATGCAGATGTTATTGGATATGATAACCTGACCATTGCATTTGCCCTACCCGAAGAGCTGTTTACTTGCAAACTTTTTAATTCCTGGACCTCTTTTATAATTATCATGTTTTGTTGAAATTTTAATATTCCAGTACTTATATCTAATATGAACAGATCTTTACTTGGTTATCAAAAATCATTTGGTCATACGAACTCGAACTTTGGTCGAACAATTATTTCTTGCAATGCAAGTTAGCATAGTAGCAACACACGACCGCATCAACAAGCATTAGCCCATGAATCACCATCGTAACCAATAAACATTATGCCCACTAACCAAACACCAAATTTCAAAACATAATATACAACAATTCACTACTCAGATTCTAAAGGTCTACGACAGGGTTGTTCTCTCTCACCATACCTATTTGTCCTCTATATGAATGTCTTATCCAAGAAGATTGATAAAGAGTTGATAGAAGGGAAATTCAAGCTTCATCTTGGCTGTCATAACCTCTCCCTCACGCATCTCTGCTTCACAGACGATCTTATGGTCTTTGTTGAAGGCTCGAAGAAATCTATAGAAGGGGCTCTCTCTGTGTTTGAAGTATTTGAAGGTTGGCCTGGTCTGCGTATTAGCTTGGAGAAATCAACCATTTTCATGGCCGGGGTTTCTGAAGCTGAAAGGAGTAGCATTCTGACAAACTTTCCTTTTGCTGAAGGTGAGCTTCCTGTCCGTTACTTGGGTCTCCCACTCATGACAAAAGTAATGCGTAAGCAAGACTATGCGTCTCTTTTGGAAAATATCATAAGTAAAATTGCTTCATGGACGTGTAGACACCTTTCGTATGCTTGTAGGCTGATGTTGATCAAGTCTGTTGTTATGAGCATTACTAACTTCTGGTCCTCTGGTTTTAGTCTTCCATGAGCTTGTATTAAGGAGGTGGAGAAAATCTGCACTGCTTTTCTTTGGTCGGGGCTTCTATTAAAATCAACTGGTGCTAAGATGGCGTGGTCTGGGATTTGTAGAGTTAAGGAAGAAGGGGGATTGGGAATAAGAGACCTCAGTGACGTTAATATGGTGAATGGTCTCAAGCGTATCTGGAGAATGCTGTCTGGAGACTCACTCTAGGGGAGATGGATTAAGGACAGCTTGTTGAAAGGAAAAAGTTTCTGGGAGGTTAGTTCAAAAACTCATTTGGTCTCTTGGATGTGGCGTAAAATGCTAAAATTGAGAGAAGTGGCCAAGTTGTTCTTTAAAAAAGAATTGGGGAATGGCAGGCATATGTCGTCTTGGTATGATAAGTGGTTGGAAAGGGGCGTTATTTCTGATTTGTTGGGAGTAAGAGGTATCATTGACTTCGGGGTAAGTAATGATGCCACTGTATAGGATGCTATTTTGGATCCGCGGAGGAGAAGAAAACACCGTAGAGGGGTGCTTAATGATATTGAAAAAGAGCTGGCTAGTGTGAAGAATAAACTATGTGTTGTAAAGTTGATACTTGTCTTTGGAGAAGAGAGTCGGAGTTTAAACAACAGTTCCTGACCAATGAAACTTGGGGTTTGCTGAGGGTTCTAGTCCTAAGTGTGATTGGGCTTCTGGTGTCTAATTTTCTCAAGCCTCGCCCAAGTTTGCATTCATTACTTGGTTATCTGCTCTGAATCGGCTGTTGACGATGGATAGAATAGCCAAATGGAGTTCAGGGATTGATGTAACTTGTGTTCTTTGTAAGAATACCATTAAAACAAGAGACCATCTTTTCTTTGTTTGTTCTTACACTTCACAATTCTAGGAGAGTTCTGTTAAAGGTATCCTCTGCAACTCTACCACCAATGTTTGGTCGGAGATTAATTATGTTGCTAATTGCGGACGTGACCAGAGACAAGTTGAGTTTATTCTGTATAAGATATGCATTTCAGGCTGTTCTCTATGCGGTTTGGCGTGAGCGCAATAAGCTTAAACATGGTGAGAAGTTGTTACCAATGGCAGTCCTCAAGAAAATCATTGATAAGGGCATCCGAAACAAGATAAGTCTGATGAGAAATAAGAATGCTAAGTGAATGGAGAAACTTATGCACTATTGGTTTCAACTAGAATGTAACTAGCTTTTCTCTTTTGAAGTCTTGAGTTTGGGTAAGCTCTTTGAATAGAAAGGAAACATTAGTTTGTATAAAGGCTTTTTTTATGAATACAATTTAACATTCATTCAACAAAAAAATAAACACCAGAAAAATAATTATTAAGAACATGCAAACAATAAAAAACCAATAAAACAACAATTATATAAAAGATAATTATTCAGTAAGTGAATGTATCCATCAAAAATTATAGCACATGATACATTTATAATTAATATATATATATATATATATATATTATATAATTATGTCTTTCTCTGTTCCAATATAAACTTATAGTAAATGTTACAGTAAAATAGTATACTACTCAGTATAACAAAATGAAAACAATACAGGCGGGAATCGAATAAGTAAAACAGCCACTAATTATACGCTGAAACTAAATAATAATATTTTATTTAAAAATATTCTAATCAGTATCGACTGTATGTACATTTAGTAAATGTTTTACTACAATCTACCGATAATTAGGGAAAATGATTTCACCGTCAAGTTATTATTCATTTTTCTTATTTACTAAAGCAAATACATTTACAACGAAACTATATAAAATAATCTAAAAGTCTAAGTGGATTAAAACAATAAACACCCAAAAATAAAATACCAATATAATTCCCAGTAATTTAATGTCATTTACTAATAAATGATGATATAAAAACACCCAAAAAACAAATACACCTAGTGATATGATCCTGACCAGCAAAGGAACTGAGGAGATGGAACAGCTTGAACCAAAGCATAAAGATGAGAAAAATGGAACTGAAGACCAGCTTGAACCTGAGGAAACAAAGGACAAGGACCTAGACGTGTCATTTGGTCCCATGACAAGATCCAAGAAAGCAAGATTCCAACAAGCTCTTAACCAACTCTTATACACTATCCAGGGCAGTCTAGATTGTGCTTATCCAACCACACTGGTTGTGATTCAAGCCATCTAAGACATTCATCAAGAGAGGTGTTGTGACTTGCACTCTTTTCCTTGGTTTGGTTTTGTCCCATTTGGGTTTTC